CCTTGCGCTGGAGCGGCTCAAAGCACGGGGTGCTTAGCGCGAGGTCGAAAGGTGCACTTTTAGCGTCCTCCTTCCACAGTCGTTGTAGAAAGGCGTAGTCAGCTGCACGACGCAAAGCGCACAGTCCATCCCAGCCAGGCTTAAGCACGCCCAGAGGGGTCCTCCAGGAACCATCGGCCTGACAGGTCCACCCCCACTTCTTAAGGACAGCAGGCCAACGAGGGACGATGGCAGGTCGAGTCAGTACAACAGCAGGCTGCCTGGAGCAGCGGTACCACTCCTGGCGGGCAACCACAAAGTCCATAGCGTGCTCAGGGTGGAGGTGCGGCCTGCCGGTCACATGCCACAAGAGAAGTCTGGAGCGGCTGGGCGCAGGAGGGCGACCCCACAAAGCAAAGGCAACGTTCCGAGTCCAAGCCTGAACGTGAGTGACCTTGAACTGGCTCCACGGCGCACACCAAGCAAAGAGTGGGAGCACCAGCTGCCGCACGAGAGCACGGCGCAAGGCCATCCCCCGCGCCGCAAAGCCAATGCGCTGGCAACGGGAGGCCACAACAGCAGAAAGCTTGGTCGTCTCAGGCAGGCAGGTGAGCCCCACAGCGTAGTGCACCCCCAACAGCACGAAGTGCGGCCGGAGGGGCCCAAGCCACTGAGCATTTGTCACCAGAAAACTTTTGGTGAGCGTGCCCGTGCCAAAGCAAGCAAGCTTCTCGGGATGGTGCCGCAGTCCAAAGAACCGGTCAACCGGGTCGCCAGCCTGGGCAGCAGCAAGTACAAGAGGGCCAGGTTGGCGGCCAACGGACCAAACGGTCCGGTCATCCAAGTAAGTTGCAATGACGGCTCGGGGAACGGCTTGCTGGACAACCCGGACCCAAACACAGACGATGCAGTTAAGCAAGAGGGGACTAAAGGGGCAGCCCTGAAGTAACCCAGCAACCGGCCTGATGGCAGAGGGGTGGTAAACCCCCTGCCAAGACATGTGTCGCTGTTGCATGGCATAAAAATGCTGAAGCAACGGTAGCAACGCCCGAGGCGCCCCGAGCCACCGTGCAACCTCAAGCGCCTGGGCCACGTGCACAGAGTCAAAACAACGTTTGATATCAGCTTTGTAGCCCGCAAAGTGAAGGCGGTTGGTCCTCGCGTGGTGAAGGTCGGCGGCGAAACTGGCATGCAGGTCAGCACAAGACCGCCCCGGCATGGAGCCCAAGAGTGAAGGTGGAGCCCAGCTAAGCGCCCAAGCCCGAAGGTTGCGCACCACCACAGTGCCGAGGGCGCGCCAAAGCGCCGAAGCGATAGCAAGTGGACGAAGGCCACCATCCTCCTTGGGAAGCAAAGTGATCCTAACATGATGCCAGCTATGCGGGAGTTTGCAAGCACTGAGGCAGCACGTCCACAAGCGAGTCAAAAGCTGGAAGAACGGCAACGGCAGCAACGCGAGTGCAGCCGGCGCCCATGAGTCCAAGCCAGCAGCCCGCCGCGAGCTAGCCCGGAGGCAGGCCAGCACCGCAGCAGGAGTCGGATGTAGCAAGTCATCAGCCCAAGGAGCCGTTGCAGGGCCCAGGCGGGCACACCAGTCGCGAGTCTCCTCCGAAGTGTGCGGCGCAGGGATCGACCATTGGGCTCCCCACTTGGCATGCTCAGCAGCAACAATGTCAATGGGATGCACCGGTGCATCGTCAAGAGGGCCAGGAGCCGGAGCAGCCGTGCGGCAGACCCAGCGCCGCAGCCGGTGAACGTTGTTTTGCACAGCATCGTGCCATTGCCTGACACGGCACTGCGAAGCCGAAACCTCAAGCTGGGCCGCCCGCCGCAAAGCAGCATCAGCGATCACCTGCGGGGAAGCACAGTCCATTAGACCTAGCTCAACCGCATCCCGAAGCACACGTTGCCTAAGGCCAGAAGCCGAGGGGTCCTCAGGGCGGCGTTGCAGCTCAAGTGCACGCCGCGCAAGACGGCGCAGGCGGCGCTCCGGATGCGATTGCAAAGCTTCGCTCTTAGTGGAAGGGGAAGGGCGAGGCCTAGGGGAAATAACCCAAGCACGGGGCAAATGGCCGGCATCGGTGTGCGGGTCCCCGGTCAGCAAGGACTCAGCGGCATGACTAAGGAGAACCCAAGCAGCATTTACATCCGTAGCATGCAACGCCTGGTCAAACGCGGCATCATGCTGGGCCCACGCCTGCTCCCAAGCCTCGGTCGTGACGGGAGGGAGGTCGGCAGGCAGCGGCCGGCGCGAGGGCGCCCGGGGTAACTCCCGAGTGTCCTTTTCCAAAGAAAAGGAGTATGACACCAAATCGTGATCGGCTGGTCCTGGGGTCTGCTGGCGGTCCAACGCGGGAACCCCCACAGTGGACAACGCGAAATCCACGCATCGGCCTGTAGGCTGGCCATGCTCATCCCGGCGGGTGGGCCGCAAAGGAATGTCCCCCTCGACCGTTTCGTCAGCCAACCGCCAGAAGCCCGCAGCCCTGGCGTCAGCAATCGGGGCCCGGTCCGGTGGAAGGTTAAAGTCGCCTAGCAGAATAGTCTCATCACCCCGCGCCGCGGCAAAGCTGAACACATCATCAAGAAGCTTGGCAGCGAGCACCTCAGAGGCGGCCGGAAGGTACAAGTTGAGCAGCATAATGGGCCGCCCTACCGGGCGGTGCAACCGCACAGCAGAGCCGCGCCCCACAGGCAGCAAGCCCTCGGGCAAAGCGAAAGGCATCACAGGCAGACGAGAAAGGATGGCCGTACCATAATGAACCTGCCCAGCCACGTTAGTAGCTTGGGAGCCCAAAGCACAGTGCCACCCCGCATGGCGAAAAGCCGATTCAACAGCAGCCCTGGAATGATCAGGCACCCGCGTCTCCTGCAGCGCCAAAACATCAAGGGAAAGCAGCACAGCGAGTGCAGCCACAGTGGCAACCCGCCCAGCCAAAGTGCCCACGTTTAGGGTCCCAATCCTGACACGAGTGGGCCGCGTCATGGCAGGCCACCCGGGCCCTGGCAAGGCGGCACAGCGTCAACCGACACAGCAAGCACATGATCATTAGAGCCGGCGGCCCCACAGGCATTAAGGTCAAGAGCAGCAGTCCCGGCATCACCAAGGGCAACAACCTCTGTCGGGACGGCCTGTCTGGACGCCTCGGCGGGCAGTACCTTGTCAAGAAGCTGCAGCACATGCTTGGCGGCTCGGGCAATGACCGGGTCCTGGTCCTGCGTGGCCTGCACAAGCTCACGGCGAACACGAGCCCCGCCCCGAACAACAGCATCACACAGCTTGCGGCGATCAAGGGAAACCCGGCTCTTGCGGCAAGCGGCACAGCGCAAGCACAGAAAGCGGAGCTCAAGCTCGAAGCGCTGGTCTTTCAAGAAAGGCCAGGCCACAGCAGCAACATCATGAGCACGCAAAGCCGGCGGCGGCAGCGCCTTGGCAGTGAGCCGACGGCGCGCGGGACCCGGCGGGGAAATGCAATCAAGCAGCTGGCGGCAACCATCAAGCAAAGGAGCAGCATGCCGAGCATTAGCAATCATAACCCTCACGCTGGCCTCGAACTTGGTGCGGGAGGAGGTCGGAAGCTTGCGTTCGCATGCCTGAGCAAGGAGCCGCTTGGGAGTAGTAGCCGTGGCAGCGCAACGGGTGCATGCATAAATGATGCGGGTGCTCCTCGGCTTCTTGGCCGGCTTGCCCACCCAAGGGATCCTGAAGAACCGCACGTCGTGCGAGCCAAAGTCGCCCCGACGCCTCATGAGGATGCGGCGGGCAACCCCATCGGCAAGCCTAGTGGCCGAGGCCTTCTGCACACCGGACCTAGCCTGTGGCAACAGAAAGCGGCGCTTAGGGGCATCAGGGTGGCACTGGGCACGGTGGCGCAAGCGGGCCTGCAGCAGCACATCGGCGCTCCGATCGGGAGCTTTGAGCAAAGCCTTGTCACACAAAGGGCAAGACCACTCAACCTGGTCATCGGGACCCGGTGTCACGAACTGTAGTGGTCGGCGCACGAAGTCCTGCAAATGTTCAGGGTGCCAAGCCTTAAGGTGCTGATGCCGGTAAGCGCACCAATGCTTGCCACGTGCAACATAATCACACCAACTGCACTTCCAGCTATCCTTGGCCTTGATGGTGCGGCCCTTGAGCAAGCGGCCTCGAGAGTCGTAGCGCTGCTGGTCCCCGGCGGCAGCCGGCACAGGCAAGCAATCCTCAAGAAGGTCGTCGGGCGTGCCGGGCGCCGGCGGCCCCGGAGCCGACACATCATCAACAGCAGCCGGGCCAGCCACAACAGCAGCAGTGGGCCCACCAAAGAAAGAGCGAATGCTCCTTGCAGCGACGGGCGAGGCCGTGCGAGCCCGCTTGGCCCGAAGCTTCACCGAAGTGGGCGCAGACGAGGCAACCGATCCATGCGCCGAGGCCGCAACAGCAGCAACAGCAAAGGCAGGGCCGGCCGGCGAACCGACACAGGCGAGCCCAGGCATCTGAACCGAAGAGGGCGCAGAAGACGCAACCGAGGCAGCATGCAGCGGGGCACTTGTGCGTGCCCGGGCCCGCTGCTTGACCGAAGTGGGCGCCGAAGAGGCAACCGAGGCACAGGCATGGCAATCAGAGCGCGAGGCCCCAACAGACGCAGCATCAAGCCGCTCAAGGTCATCGGCGGAGGGCCCCCCCACACGCGGGAACGAGGCCTGGCCAACCTCCTCAGTGACAGCAGCAATCTCATCGGGCAGACGGGCATTGGCTTTAAGGGTAAGTAGGTCAAAGTGCTTGCCGGTGTGCCACACAATGACCCTAGGCAAGGAGGGCGCAAAGTTGTAGGCACTCGGGGGCAGATCAGCCCGCTCAGGAAGCACAAGGATAGTGCACCGATACGTTTTAGCAGCGGCTAAGATCTCAAGCGCACCGGCCCAAGCATCCCGGGCCTGCATCCGCGTAAGATAATCGGCAAAGGACTCCAGGTGCTGCTGCCGGTCATCACAGCCATCCCACCGTTTTTGGAAGGAGGTGGCATACTTGCGCATGTGAGCAATGGTCTCGGCACGCGCCTTGTCCGAAGTCGGTGCTGAGGGCAAGGCCTTGGCGAGGCAATGGAAAAGGCAGGAGCCGTCGCCTGGCACCACGTGGCGCTCTAGGTCAGCAGGGATTTGGCGGTACCGAACAGCAGCTGCAGCAGCCTTCTTCGCTCCTGGCGCAAGGCGGCCCTCCTCACCTGTGGCCTCAGTTGCCTCAGAGCTCTGGAGAACCGGCTTGTCGATCGTGGTGAACGCCTCGCGTTTGAACGCAAAGGGGCCAGCGCGTAGCGGCTGCCCACGGTCACGCGTACCTGGCCGGGCGGGGGCAGGAAGGACCCAGTACGATCGCTCCCCCTCAGGCGTCTCAACAACAATCTGCTGTGCATCCGCGCCGGCGCCCGCAGACGCCCTTACCCACCAGGAACAGGCCCCTTTCCTAACCAACCGTCGAACGACAGCAGGGTTCTGAAGAGAGGTCTGGGACACAAGCAAGGACCTAATGTAGTCGTCGGTCCAAGGCGGAGGCGTACCTGTGATGGTCCAGGTGCGCGTGGGAGCCTGCCCCTCCTGAGGGGCAACACGGGTGCCAAGCTCCCTGTTACCAAGAAGCAATCCGAAAGCCGGCCGCTCAGCCAGCAACCGCTCATGCAGAGCACTAAGACCCTCATCACGCAGGGGCTTGTGCCAGACAACCGAAACGGTGGGCGTCGTGTCCTGCCGCCCCACCGGCTCAACAAAAACCCCCTGCTGGCCGGAGGCCTTGAAGAGCTCTCGCACACAGGATGTGTCCACACGGGCCAGGCCTTGCACAAGCTGATGGTTGCCGCGGGCGTGCTTCGCAAACTGCCAGGCATCCTTCAGGCAGTGCTGTTTATCAAGGGGAAGCGCAAGCCTGCCCCACTCCTGAATGAAACCGCGGGGTGCAGCAAGGGCCCTCTGCCAAAGCTTAGGGGGGGCAAGCCCCTGACAAGCAACAACTCGGATCACCGTGGTGGCTGACGCCGGCGCAGGCGCGGGCTTGGGGGAGGATTTCAAGGACGGGGCCGCAACCCCAGCACAACACACATCAGTGCGGACAACGTGCTGGGTAACAACCCTGGTCCCGGAAGCAAGCGGAATCACCAAAGTACCCGCCCGATCCCTATGGAAAACCCAAGCCGAGTGAAGCCCCTTCCCCGTGATCTGTTGGGCCGCCGCGTCTGCCTGCTCTGAGTCAGCGGCAAGCAAAACGAGCGGGCCTTTCGGGACGGAAGCCAGCTTCGCCGGGAGCTCATCGTATTGCACCACCGTGCCGTGAAAGTCACCTGGGCGCAGCGCAAAGGAAGGAGTCGGCTGGGGCGGGCGCGGCGGTGGGGCCGCGGGCGCCGTCACAACTCGAGGCAATGATGGTTCAGCAGGGGGGCCCGAAGGCCGGGGCTGATTTGCAGCTTTCGGCTTTGCCTTGGGCTTAGCTTTGGCTTTAGGACGGGCGGGCGCGGGAGAGGCACTACCAGCAAGAAGAGGCCCCAAAGCCTCGATCAAAGACTGAAGTCCTCCCGCACCCTTACCAGAAAGCAACTTGAGAATCCCCTCAAGGACCGTAAGTAGCTGAGCCTGCCGTGCCTGGTTGCGCTTGCGCTTGGTAACCGCTGATGCACCAGGCCCTGGGTGGGATGCTTCTCCGATTCGCTGGCCCAACAAGCCATTGGGGCGGTTGAGGCGTAGGCGGGGGAAGGTATGCACGGCAATGTCAGCCCTAGGGAACCCGAACCCTAGAGGAAAACTAAGCAATGGCCTAAACCCACGGCTGCAGCGTGAGCTTCGGGCTCCAACGCACGGATTATCGGGCAGCAGCCCGTCACAGCAAAACATTACACAACATAACTCCTGACTGTCCTCTGCAAAGGTCAGCTCCAGGGCAACGAGGTCGGGAAAGTTCGATGCCCCCTCGGGGGGGGGCCCCGCCACCACGGAGGCGCGCCGCCCGCGCGCCAGGACGTCTTCCCGATGATGGCTGCTCCAGGTCGCTGGCGTTAGCACTCTTCTCTCCAAGGGGCAGTCGAGAACCGGGCAAAGTGCGATGAAAACCTCGCACCTGGCCACATATGCTGGGATGCTGTTGATGGCATTGGCTTGATGAAGGTTGTCTGTTTCATCGTTGTCTGTTTCATCGGAAACCCGCGTCGGATGCCGTAGCTGCGGGCACGAGAAGTAGTCGTACCAGAAGAACAGGGCATGCGTCTGAAAGTCTTTCATGGGAAGGGGCTTGGCCGTTTGCACCACGGCTTCTGTAACGGGATCCAAGGAAACGGACCCAGAGCTGCTCAGCATCCGCCTTACTGCATCCTGCAGAGTGCGCATCTGCTTAAAGTCGGGATCTGGGTGCCGTTGTGTAAGCCACTGGTGCGAAACGAAAGCCGCCTTCCCCAAGCCGACGACGAAGTCCACGAGCTTCCCCCATGCCTTGAATAGGTAGGAATCAGGGCCCCCCAAAGAGTGGGAGTGGGAGTGAACAGTTCGAAAGAAGGGGAGTTCAACCCCTAGGGCAGAAGCCGCCACCGCCGCCCTTTTGGCTTCAGGGCTGAGGTTTCTGCTCGAAGTTCCCCTTCAACTGTCAACCCGGAAAGTGACTCCGGCCTTCAACTTCTCATGCGGCTCGACCTTCGTCATCTTCGGTGACGGTGTACATGGGGAAGAGCATGGGGGCATCCTGAGCCATGCGGTGGTGGCAACCCATCCCTCTAGCCGAAAGACCGGCTGGTAGCTGCAGCGATGATCGACAAATCTGCGACAGGCAACGACACTGTAACTGAACCAGAGACAACGACGAGGATGACAATGAAGAGGCTCAGTGATGTCGTCAGAAGCAGCAGAAGCGGCAAAGTCCATGGCGCTAGAAGTCAGTCGGAGCAGGAGCAGGAGTAGTAGGAGGAGGGGGTGCAGTGCAGCAGCAGTATATAAGCGTAGCGGTACGACAAAGCAATGGCAGCAGTGATAGTGACTGAAGCGGTGGTGGCAGTGTAGCAGTAGCAGAAGTAGTAGCAATAGCAGCGGCACTAGAAGTAACAGTGGCAGTGGCAGCAGCAGCAGCAGCAGCAGCAGCAGCAGCAGCAGCAGCAGCAGCAGCAGCAGCAGCAGCGGGAGGAGGAGGAGGAGGAGCAGTAGCAGCAGCGGTAGTAGCAGAAGCAGTCGCGGTGGCAGTCGTAATTGCAACAGTAGGGGTGGTCGTAGTAGTGAAGCCTTACATGCACGATGCCCAGGGGCGTCTGCTTTTTCTGGTAGCGACTTGGCATAGATCTCCAAAGGCGTCCGAGTCCCTGAGGCGCAGCAAGCCATGGCAGGGGCGAGCTCCAAAGGTCGAAAGCCGAGAAACCCCAAGCGGGACCTGGGGCTCCAAGCCCGCCTGGCTCGGCTCAGATCGAAACAGTTTGAGCCCGAGATGCAACGGCCAAATGGAGTTTCAGAACCCTAAACCCTAAACCCAGGGCCGTTGAGAGTTTGGACTTCAGCTTGCTGCATGCCGGGGCCATGGAAGAAAACTCAGAGCTTGCAGCAGCAGGTGCTGCTCCTCCTGCTGTGTAGATGTTGATTGGTACCGATAATGCTGTTGCTGGTAATGCTGACGCTCAGTTTAATGTTGAGTTCGATGTTGATGTCGGTGGCGGTGTCGGTATACTGTCGGTGGTGGCTGTTGTTGTTGCTGTTGCTGTTGTTGCTGCTGCTGCTGCTGCTGCTGCTGCTGCTGCTGCTGCTGCTGCTGCTGCTGCTGCTGCTGCTGGTAGTGGTAGTGCTCCTGCTGTTGCTGCTGTTGCTGTCGAAAGACCGAGCAGGCCTCCTTCTTCATGAAGTACTTGTCCTGAGGCCGTCACAACCCCGAACCTACCATTTGGTTTCGTAAATCTTGATAAGCCCTGGCTTTGCACAAGGCCTCATCGGGTTGTGTGTCTTTAGAATTTTGGTTGCAAAGCTGTCGGAGGATGCGATTTTCGTACAAGCACTTGGCTTAGGGTTGGGGCCGGAGCTTTGAATAGCCTTCTCACCGAAACCTGACCTATTGACCTTTAGCCTTAGGCTAGATCCGTAAACCCTGATCCCCACAGCGGCCCTTTCGCCCTTGGCAGGTAGGGGCCCGATAAAGGTCAGACTTACCCCTGTTTCGCACTACCAAGCCGGAGCCATACCCTAAACCAATAAATTGCCCCGAAACGTATAGTTGAGTACAGAAGGTTCGTCTAGTGGCATTGCTTAGTCCCGCCCATGTGGGGCCTTAACTAGTGGCTTACAAGCAGCGATATGCGGGTTTCCGAAAATACGGGACCCTTATATAGTAGCCTAAATAGTAGGATCCTTACTATAATATAAACAAGGATGCCAAAACAAGGTACCCTATATTTTCGGCAAGTCCCATATTAGGCAACCTAGGTGGGATTGTCGTTGCAAGAACCCGACTGCTGAACTTCTTGCGAAACGAAGCAGGGTTCTCGAGAAGACTGATACGGTTTAGGGTTCAGGGTTTAGGGTTTATGGTTTGGAGTTGGGGTTTAGGGTTTAGGGTTGGTGAACCATCGAAAGCAGCTGTGGCTGTGGATGACTACTCGCACCAGATCACCCACAACACGCCTCCCCCAACTCTGAGTAGCCGAAAGCCGACAGACAATACTATCATGCTACGATAAAAGTACTATGAGGCTACCCGCCGTGGTGTAGGTTGTAGTACAGTACAGTATCGTAAAGTATTGGTATAGTACACTAGAAAAACAACGTATAATAGTATTGTATAGAAAAGTAGAGGATAGCATAGGATAGTATAGTAAAGTAAAATCTGGCATACTATAGTATGATAAAGTATAGGAGCCTGAATAATTGAATTGCGGCCTTCTTGGCGTCATACTTGAAGCCGCCACGTAGCATGAGCTCGTGCGTCTGTGGTGGCACCTGCGGCGCAGGACTGTCGGCGTTTTAGCTTTCGGGCGTCAAAGCGTTGGGGATTTTGAGGGCTTTATGGTTTTCAGGGCTTCAGCGCTTTAGGGTTCTAGGGTGTTGAGGATTTGGGGCGTCAGGATTTTAGGGGGCTCTGGGCCTTGAAGGTTGCCTTGTGGTATGTTTGACTGTTGAAGTGCATTCAGCTTAGGGCAGCCAGTTCCTTTGATTTTGGGTCCCGTTTCGACCTTTAAATTCAGGGCTTTGGGGGGGTCGGAACTTTGGAGTTTAGGGTATCGGGTTCAGTGTTTAGGGTTTAGAGTTTAGGGCTTAAGGCGCCTATACACAAGATCCTGAATGCAGGAACTTTCTCTTCGCGACAGAGCCACGGCTCTCCGAACTTTCGGCTCCGAGGTGTTGTAGATTGTGGTGAAGAAGCATGAATTGAACGTATATTGGGACTTGAGGCCTACATGAGGGGATTGACATAATGAATTGGTCGAAAGACCTGATTCCCGAGGAGCTTGCCAAGTTGTGTTTGAGTTGAGCTTTTCTGCACGACTTAAGCTTGATTTTTTCAGTTTGCGGCTCCAAAAAGCAAGATCGACACAGGGATCTCCGTTAATTGATCTGCAAATGACCCTGCTCGAGGACTCCTGTACAAGATAGCTCGATACCGACACAAAGCTTCAACTTCAAGTGGGACGGTTTACCTAGGACGAACCCAATTCCAGTTCAAAAACATCCCAACTCAGGCCAACACTAATCATAATCATCACAGCTCGAATCATACAGAGAATGCTGGGCAGCAGGTTGGTAGCAATTCAGATGCTGCTTCTCGGACAACAACAACAAACCTACCATGCCGACAAAACCTAAAACTGACACTCACGTGCAGCCATACATCCTGTGCTACTAATCCTGCAACAGCAGTCATGCCATTTTTTATTCTGGCCTTTCCCATGGCACCCAAGCGCAAGCACACGGAGTGCAGCGAGCGAGGCCACGAGGGATGGGTCAGAACTAAGTGTGAACTGCTAGGGGGGGTAAGAGGGGCTGAGCCTAACCCAATCCGACCGCCACCACATGCGAAGGACCCTCATAAGGGCTTGGGAAACAAGGTTGTGCAAATCAAAGCTAGCTGATGCTGCTTCTGCTGCTCTCAAAGCCGCAATGCAGGCTGCGGGGCGGACACAGGCATTCCAAATACCTCGACAAGCGCTCCCGGCGTTTCATGTGCGCGACAGTATAATCTGCACAAGTGACGTGTGATGCTCCCGCTAAGTATCTCTGTGTGCTACGACTGCGGCTCACCTAGCGGGACGACAGTGTCGCCGCTACAAACAGGAACGGCTCCGAAGGGTCCCAGAAGCATTCGTCTTTTGCACGGACCAGATCTGCCACCAGCTGTCTGGCCAAAAGCCTTGGTAGAACGGACTTTAATTAGGAACTTTAGGACCCCGGGCATAAGGGGCATGAGTCTTCAAAGCCTTAAACAAGATCGGAGTAGCCTCCGAAGAGTGTACAGTTCTGACACTCCATGGTCTGAACCAAACCGTCGAACAAACTCCTTGACACTTGGCTGCAACACCCGAAGCCCAACAGCTTTTTCGAAGATCGGATGGTAGCCCACTTGGGTCTAGGGGCTTAACGTTTACTTGGAATTTTCGGGTTTACTTACGCAGACTTTAGGGCCTCAACCTTTCCCTCTGCCGCCGAGGATCGTCTTGCTCCAGGCCACTAGCCGTTGGTCCGAACTGCGACAAGGCCAGCTGAGGGCTTGGCTTGTCAGTGTGAAGAAGCGGATAAAATACTACAGTTACAATAAGGAACCCCCAAAATAGTATAGGTAATTAGTAAGGCCCCTACATTAGCCTTCAAAAGATGCTAGGAATAGGGCTTGCCGCTTGCAGCTGCTGCTTCTGCGACGATGGCGACCACAACGACGACGATGGTTAGAACCACAGTCGTTTGCAACGTTTTCTGCCTGAACTTCCTTAAACCCGAAACTTTAACCTCTGAACCCAAAACCCTAGTTGGACCTGAGCAGTAGCCCTTGCAACAACCCTTTCGCCTGGGACAACTGCATTTGGTTTGTTTGAAGGCTTTGGTTTAGGTTAAGGGTTTCTTGATTTCTTGTTGGTTTGGGGTTCTGGCCTCCGGCGCCGGGTGTCAAGGCAAATGGAGAAGTCATTGCAGGAGATCCCGCTACGGGAACCTCTCCAAGCACACGATTAGGCTTTCGGCTTTAGGGTTTGGGGTTTAGGGTTTGGGACTTAGGGTGTGGGAAGTTTACGGTTTCTGGAAGTGGTGCCATGAAAGGCTCAACGATGACCCCTTTGAACAGTACGTCCTCAACCCTATGACTCGATCTCGCTTGTGAGGGCACAGGGCGCTTCTCGGTAAGGATATGAGAGAATTTAATTTCAAATCCAGGTGTA